CCTCAACCCTTAGTATACTCGTTTTTATAGAAAACTAAAGGGATTATTGATTTATAAGCTGTTTTATCATGAAGCAGAGTCTTAAATAGCACATCTGTATTAAGTTATCGTTTTTTAAAATTTTGACTTAAATACACATTTTCAAGAATATATTTATTACAAAGGACACTCATTTAAGGAAAGGTAGGTAGGTAATTGAAGAGCTGTTTAATTTATAATATCATAATCTTGGACATACCTTTCAATAAAACTTCACCTTGCCTACCTTTAAGAAAAGACTTCCTACACTGAGGTAAATTAGGCAACAATTCAGCAACAGAGATTTTTTTCATCACACTCCAGCACAAAGCCAGTAGTCCCTCTGATGATGTGTTAATAACAAAGGCTGGGTGACGAGGAGTGCCCTGCGACAAATCACTTCACTCACCAGCCCCACTACAGCGGGAGTCAGCATTTTGGCATGAACAGACCTATGCTTTCAGGGTCAACAGAGAAGCAATTAATCAAACTGGGGGCAAGAGAAATGACAACCAAGAAGACAGTTATGAAGACCAGATAAGAGCCACAATCCAGTATCTGTGTGGGTCAACAATGCTCCCCTCTGCCCACGGCAGAAGGTGCAATGGAGTGTAAACGGGGTGAAGCCAAATAAGAATGTTGCTCTCAGCCATAGTTGCCAGATGCAGCTTCTCGCTTCTTAACTTGCCCCCCGCAGCCGCCCCACCCGCAGCCTCCTTCCTCAGGCTCTACACCTCTCCAGGGTCACACATCTCTGGAGTCTGCAGGAGCCAAGGCCAGTACGAGGGAGAAGCAAGGGCCCCAGCAACCCAGGGTTCAGGATGCAGGAAAGAAGCACACCTTCTGCCATTAGTGGTGAAGAGCAGTTTCCCAGTGAAGAATCCTGACATAAATTCTCCCTCCTTTTGCCCTGTGCTCACACACCCTGCCTTTGTTTAAAAAATGAAAGGCAAACTAAGAAGGCAAATCTAGATCAACCTGCATCCGAATGTGCATGTAGCAAGGGACCTTAAAAGAGGCGACCATTCTGTTTTGTTTTCACATAAAAACAATAATAGCCTTTGTCAAGCGCTGAATGTTGAGACTTCCTGCAATGTCTTGCCTTCCTTTCACTGGGTATGGAGGGCGAGGCCAGCCAGTCTGTGACTTATGAAGAAAGATCTGAGGGTGGAGGGAATGACTAGATCTGATAGCTTTGTGCACACAGTGAGTAATCCATGAGACGTGGAGGTCCGCTGTCTCCAGCTTTGGGAGAGAAGGGTAAACCAAGTCCCGGACTCAGGACCAATGGAAAGAGGCAGTCTCCTGATTTGGCATGCCAGTTCTTCCCCGGGCTGTCCTTTGATATGATGGCTGCTGTTTGTGGTGGGGCCACCTAAGGGGTACTTGGGGAAATATCTTAACATGAGAATCAGATGGAAAAATACTTTAAGGGAAGGGATGCATCTTGCTGCTCATTGTGGTTTTCCAGTACCTGAGCCGAGTTTACTGAGCAGCAGCACAAATACAGCTCTGTATAATATTACCATACTTAAGCTATGTGCATGTTTATCATTTCCTTACCGACAATAGCTGGAGGAAAGGCTAAGTGAGACTGGAGAGGAGGGAAGGAAGATGGAGGGGGAATACAGACATCAGGACAGAAAACCTATATCTTCCTTGAGGAATGAAGCCCCAGATTCAGTCACATGGAGTTGGTGTCAAAGTGTCACGACTCCACACTTTTACTTCCAAACACTGAAGAGGTAAAGGTGGCTGGGAAACAGGGCTGGGAAAATGAGGCAGATGAAGCCAAAGACTTGCTTTCTTACAGTTCTGGGGTGTATTTAGTTCCTCTCCACAACAGGCCCTCTTTTCCTTTGTGGACGGGCACCCGTTTAACAGGTTAGAATGCACCGACTGGCCCTTCTCTTGGGAGACAGCTGCTCCTCAAGAAGTGCAAGAGCTCAGACTGCACCTGCTAACTGTTAGGACCCAGCTCCTGCTGAGCTACCAGCTCGTTCCGCACCCTGGGACAGGCCCACTCTGACTGAGCAGACCTCTCTGTCCTGCCAAAGATTGCTACAGCAGAGGCAATGGGCCCCTGAGGGATTCTCAGCTCTCAGGAAGATGTCAACCAAGAGCACCACTCGATTGCGGTCGTGGCTCCTGCTTGGATTGCCCTTTCTCCCGCCCCTTATGCACCCTCCCCTCCCCATTCCCTCTGTCTTCTAATGCCTCTTTTTCCTCCAATACTCAGCTAAGGCACTGCCACCTCCTCCAAGCCATCCCTGAAATCCTCAAGCAGTTCTCTTTCATTGACTCTCCTCTTTGGATTCCTAAGTATCTCCTTGGACTGGTCTGTCCAACTAGACTGAGAATACTTTGGAAGCAGGAGCGGTGTCCTTTCCATCTTGATGTCTCCCAAACTAATCACCATGGTAGGTGCTCAGCTAATGAATAAATGAGTAACATAAATACACAGCTGTAGTCACTTCATAAATTGATCATGCCAACCAGGGCAAAGTTTGTGTTCATCTATCAGTCGCTTAGTCCCAGAGCTGCCGGTGGACACTGGGCCCAAGCCTGGTGTCCCACCAAATACATACAGTACTCAGAAGGGGAGACAGAATAATGAAATACAGATCACTGTGACCTTAATTTTACTGTTGGAAAGTATAAGGGCTCTACTCCTAGTGTATCTGTAGGTCCCCCTTGGGTGAAGGCCAGGAGTTGTGCTCATGCCGTACAGATGCGCTATTACAGCTTCAGTCCTACACTAGCCTCCACGACACCCCTTAAAAGACTGAGAGCATCAGAGACTATATAGGCTTCAGTTCATATTCTCCTTTTAAATGAGTCTGGCAGGTTGTAAAGCTCACGTTGTACACGAGCCCTTTGGGGATTTCTCCAAATCCATTTATTGAAGCTGAGTTTCACTGGGAAATTCAGTAGAGAAACACACTATACTTTATGTGTTGAAAATAACAACAAAATGCAAAGATGCAGAAAGGGCCTGATGGACTCTTGACATGCTCAGTGCACCGTTACATAGACACCAGTCTCTCCTTTGCACAAAATGAATAATGAGGACCCTTGACAAGGTGAAGGGTGCCACCCAATCTCTGTGCTAGACTACTTCACTTTGCTGAGTCCCTAGGATCCTCCCAGCTCATGATGCAGACATGACACTGCTTAAGACGTTGTTATCAGGATTAAGTTAAGTGCCCAAGAGTTTCCTGGCTTCACAGCTGTGACTCTGAAGGCTGATAAGCCACAGCCGAGACTGTTCAAGGACTCCAGCTGTCCTGAAAGTGCCTGCTTGTTTATTGTACGTAGATAAGTGTCACTATTATTCCTGGAAGGGTAGGAAACACTGGGGGTCTGGAGATCACTAGGAACTTTTTAAATTAGAATGGTGTGAAGATAGGTTGGGATCCCTGGCATATTAAAAGGGGAGAGGGGGAGAAACTACGTCCTCTGCATTTGGTGATACTGTAATTATACCTCCCTTTAAGAACCGTTAATAATCACTTTCTATTTTATAACCTACTGGTAATGAACACTGTGGCTTTACTTGTTAATTGAAGTTGACAGGATGCTAGAGAGAGCCTCATGGCACACCCCTGAGTGTTTTCTCTTTGTTTATCAATAAGGGAGTGTTTATTTATTTTTTTATGGTTTACTCTAGGTTTAAATCAGAGGAAGGAAGTAAAGGCACTATTCTCAGGAAACTCCTTGGGGGAAATGTCCAGTTATTTGTCATGAGCATTATCTCAGTACTTAACCTGGCACCAACCAAATTAACAAATGAATTTTATCATCATAATCTGAATATATCCCTGGAAATAAAACCAGACCAACACAACTGGGAGAGCTACCGTGCTCTCTGTCCTCTTTCCAAAGGCCTCACCCACTCTCTAAATAGCCTAAGACACCAGAGTCAAAAACGAACTTTTCTGTTACCAGAAGTGAAAACAATGCCTGTGCCTGAAACGGCAGGATAAAGGTCCCACCGGAGATTATAGTCCACAAGATGTACCCTGCAACCCATCACTACATCCCCCCCAGCCCAGAACCCTCAGCACGTACCCAGCTTGTAGTGACTGAGTTAGGCTGACTGGGTTACACTCACACTCAGATGCTTGAGCTGACATGTCTGCAATGAAATATTTGGAAGCTAGAAGCAAACACCACCTTTGTGTGATAAGGAATTTTAAAATGGGGGCCTTTCAGTTTGAAAACGCTAATTTCAATTTTCAACTTTACTGACCTTTCTTATAAAAAAGTAAAATTTGTCTTCCTAATTTCAAGCATATTTAAATATCTCTGAAATGAGGTTAAGGGTGTAAGATAAAATACAGTGCTCCCATTACAGCCATTTGAAATAAACATAAATCAAGTCTTTTTTCCCAAATACTGGAAAATTCTTTATTGCCATTAAGAGCCAACAACTTCAACTCAGTCTTATTTTATATATCTGCTCTTTTATTCTTCTTATGTTAGCAATAGAATGTCTTTTTGAAGTATATTGGCTCTATTGTTCACCAAGATTGACAGATATCCAATATTAAAATTGCTACCAGATAATTTTTTTAAAATTTTTTATTAAGGTATTATTGATATACACTCTAATGAAGGTTTCACATGAAAAAACATTATGGTTACTACATTTACCCATATTACCAAGTCCCCCCCATACCCCAGTGCAGTCACTGTCCATCAGTGTAGTAAGATGCCACAGAGTCACTGTTGGCCTTCTCTGTGCTACAGTGTTCTCTCTGTGATCCCCCACACCATGTGTACTAAACATAATACCCCTCAGTCCCCTTCTCCCTCCTTCCCCACCTGCCCTCCCACACCCCTCCCCTTTGGTAACCACTAGTCCCTTCTTGGAGTCTCTGAGTCTGCTGCCATTTTGTTCCTTCAGTTTTGCTTCTTTGTTGTACTCCACAAATGAGGGAAATCATTTGGCATTTGTCTTTCTCCATCTGGCATATTTCACTGAGCATAATGTCCTCCAGCTCCATCCATGTTGTTGCAAATGGTAGGATTTGTTTCTTTCTTATGGTTGAATAGTATTCCACTGTGCATATGTACCACATCTTCTTTATCCATTCATCTTACCAGATAGTTTATGATTAAGAAAACTATTCACTGTAAATTAATTGAAGATCTATTTTGATTTTGTACCATGTTTCAGCAAACAAAATAGCAACTACATCTATTGCTATATGTGTCCCAGAAAATATGTCCTCTAATTTTTTTCATTTGCCCCATATATCAGTTCAAGTTCAAGGCAATAGAGCTAGCAAGGAGGCTGGAGAAGAGCCATCTAGTTCAGCCCCTTGCCTCCTGTTCTGAGGGGTGTCCTCCTCCCAGGATATGCTCCTAGAAGTCAAAAATAAAGAAATAAATACATTTTATCTTTGTTCTAGAACAAACTGGACTCTCAGGGATTTACTAAGATCAACCAAATGGATGAGAGATTGAGGCGCAATGTGTGGCACAGGTGAAAAAGAATAGGGGGCAAGGTCAGGTGGCACCCAGGATGGACAGTGCCCACAGGCTGGTACTTCAAGGAGGTGATTCTGTTATACACTCTGCTTTGGAATCCCAGAAACTTGCTCGTCGTTGTGTCGAGGGGTGATGTCAGCCAGAAGGCAGATGTGCCAGGGTGTCCTGGAGAGCACCTGGTTTATTTGGAATACCCTGAATACCAGGAAATAAGCAATCATGAGAGCGATTCTCTCCCTGTCCTCAGGCCATCTGAGAAGATATAGCATAATCAGGAGCCACTTTGTGGGTCCATTTCAAGAAACTATTGTCATAAGAAACAGGATGCTGGCATTTCATGTGATCTCTACCTGAAATCTTATGGGGGAAAAAAATAGCCATGAAGGGTGTTTGGTGCTCTGGAATCAGAACAAGAGGTATAAATCAATGAACATTGACAGAATTGAGTTAAAACAGCCTGAGGCATCATGTGATAAGAGGAATAGTGTTACCAACAATGGTAAAAATAGAGTCTAGTGACAGCTATTTCTACACTGCAGATTTTTCGAAACTGGGAAGTCCTCCGTCCCTAGTTATGGCTCTCTTCTCCTTCAGAGTGCGTCAATGCGCACAGTCTGTGTGATCACCCTTCTGACTGTCCTTTCTGTACATTTCTAAGACTAATGAACCTTCTTCACGGGCCTTCTGAACTGAATCTTCTCAGGGGCTTTCCATGGGACAGGTATATTGGCAGCTCAGTAGTGTTTCATCAGGTTTTTCCAAAGCTTAGGCCAAATAGCTCTCTAAGCCTGAATTCAAGCCCTTTTTCCCTAATTCCTACACATTCCTGATACTTGATTCTGCCATCCATGCACTCAGCTCTGAGAAGGGGACAAAGGACAAGTCCCTGAGGAGGACTAAACACATCATAAACTACTAAATTGACATATTGGCTCATGTCTTGAGTATGTAGGAGCTCCTAAGAGATGCCCTAGAATAATCGGAAAATTGGAAAGATAAGATTTCCACTTGAGAGATAAATTGCAAGATCAATATATAAATATTTCTTTTTTCTCCAGAGATACCCAAAAATGATTTAAAGATGCCATCTAAAACTTTTTCCTCAGCTATCTGGGCAAGGAGCTATGATGGGGGTGAGGGTGTCACTGTCTAACCCAAGAGCAGGTGCACTTTCTGATGGAGGGAATGAAAGGATTGGTCTAGCTAATCCTCCATTTTCCTTGTACCCTGAAACAAAATCAGATAGAAAAAAGGCCTGGCTGTGAAAACGAATCATAAACAATATAGTGTTCTTCAAATACAACATAACTAATGATAAACTGAAGACTTTGTCATTGAAAAGATAAAATATCTACAGCTCCAAATATTATAAATGTTTTACATCTTTGGCATTAAACTAGCATTTCTTTGAGGGCTAGTGAGGCCATCAAGGATAGTGACAGATGAAACCAAATTACTGATAAAACCAGGAAGGGTGATACCCTTAGAAAACCTAGTGAAAATCAATACAAAATGCATGGATTTGCTCATGACCAGAAATAACTCATTTTTTACATGGTTTGTAAATGTATGCTAAAGGAGTCTTAGGAAATATGTAAGTCCCATCAAGGAAGTGTCATTTGCAATTATTTGGAATTACATTGCACTTGTATGGTGAAAGGCTAGTCTACAAAAGACTGGTACACAACATGGGATCTAGAAAAAGGAAGCTGAAGAACATGTCCATGTGCACCCATGGGCAAGAGGGGAGAACACTGTGCCAGAGAAGGATACCCTAAGAATTTGTCTTAGGTTCTTCTTTTAAATAGGACCAGGGCACTCTCCCAGTGGTTTTCAGACTTCTCACGTATGCAGAAAACCTGTGGGAGAAAGAGGGACTCTATTTTAGATCCAAGAAAGCTCTAAGATTCCCCAACATGTAATATAACATGTTCCTAAAAATTGTATGCAAAATTCCTATTATTAGACTTGAGTCTTACAAGGAACAGATTGTTTCCAAGGAACTAAAGTTCATGATCAAAGCCTTTTAGCACAGCAGTTGACAATATATTTTCAGCATTTCATACATGTTCTTTAATTTCATTCTTTTTGATGACAAGTGAATATAACCAGTAGGCTATGTCCCATGAGTTTCTTTTGGAAACCTAAGATTTGCCACTTTGTCTAAAGACTCAATTGCATTAGGTCAATGAGATCTATGTTTCTAGTTACTAGTTTTAACACTTCATCTATCACTTTATATTCCACTTCTATTTATAAAATAGACTATAAATTAGTCTAAGGTTGAAACTGAAAAAAAATGTCTAATGATTGCACAAATACTGGCGCACAAAGGTAACAACACTAAAACTCAATGGCTGGCTGGTAAGCAGCGTCATCACTCAGTCGCTGGAAATGTACTGGTCATTAATGTCTAAACTGGCTGCCCCCAAAACAAGTAGGAGTGCCAAAACATAACACAGAGAAGTGAAGGCTAATCAAAATATGTGTTTAGGCTTTTTCTATTGTAAAAAGCTGTAATAAAAAACAACCTCAATTACAATAATGTTTTAAAATAAATGCACCCACATCCATCCAAGACCTGGTAGAGCACATATGTGAAACATCATGGATTCAGGCTATAGATCTGATGCACCTGTAGTTCCTCTGGAATCCATGATAACATTATGTTCTGACTTTACTCCAGCACAATATTTCTCAGTCTAAATTAATTCTTGTTCTGGCTGTCACTGCAGTAGTCTCATTTGCATTAGATCAATAAAGGTCTAAATTCTGAGCATCATCCACTCAGGATGAACTGATAATGTCCAGTTGCAGGGCCCACAGACCCGAGGCCCAACTGCTGTGGTTGAAGGCACTGAGTACTATAGGGTGAAGACTCAGTCTCTTGGATCCCTTTTTACATTTTTCTACTTAAATTCAGTCTATCTTTATGGCATATGCTGAGAAGTAAGTTTTAGTTTAAGCCTTGTATATAATAATTCAGACATAACTACTTTATGGAAACTAATTGAAGAAAGGCTATTTCTCTCCCCCAAACAAGACCCATATCTCAATAGACAGGGATAGTCACTCTATGTTCTTGCTCTTTGGACTGTCTCATTAGTGCTACATCTACACCCCAACCTTTCACCCCCTAGGTTCTCTCTTGCAAATTGATCATATGCACAGCAATACAGATGTTTAGCTGAAAGCCTATGCTTCTAATATCCCTGGACATCAAATATGCCCTCCAGTAACAAAGGATTCTTATCACAAAGCCAATTCTACATTTCTCAAGCTATATACAGTAGAGTTAGGTCAAGGTACAAATCTTAAGGCATTATGAGAAGATATTTGGGAACTACATCCCTGCAACCAAGGAAATGGTAGCTTTTAATTTTTGCAAAGATGTCGGACCTTAAAGCTTCAGTCCAGTGATTCCATTCATCGGTTCATCTGGCATCGAATAAGCATAAGAACAATTTGTTCCTTGCATGATAAAGTCAGATGGATTGTGACAAGCCATTTCCAGTTTTAGTTTTCTTGAAAAGACACATTTGCAGGAAGCACTACCAGGGAGAAATGACTGTGGCTGAAATAAAATAATTGACACTGAAAGATACTGACATCAGAAAGAACTCCTGAAAGCAGCAGTGGAGAGGCTGAGATTTCATGAGGCTGTCTGCGATCACAGCCAGACAGGTCGTTCCAGCACTGCAGATTTTCCTTGGTGTGGGTGCTATAAAAGCTGTTGGGCTGACAGCAAAATCTCTATTCAACTGAAGCCATCCTCTCTCCCATCTGTTGACGGCTGCTCCTGATTCATAGAGATGGACGGTCCTTACAGAGAATGAGGAGAAAGTAATTAATTCCCCACATGCTAGTACACCATGATGGGTCTGGTCTTCCTGCATTAGCTTCCTGCTTAATGCAACTGATCTGGACCATCAACTGGTTTTACAGAGACTTCGAATAGCCTGGCTGGGCTTGTTCAACCAGTAAGGATTGAGATCAGATTGCAGCTCAGTCAAGCTGGTCACTAGTAGCTACATCTACCCTTGGTTAGACTTAGACCATTGTTTACAATTATAATTTCTCAACCCTCAGTGAGAAACTAATTGATACTGCAGTGAAAGACTAATTGGAGACCCATAAAAAGTAGAAGAGTTGTTTTTAATAAATGCATATGGCTAAAAACCCTAGTGGCCAGAAAGAATCAACTCAGCTTCTTAGGAAGCTTCAGCTCTAACATAGGATCCTCTGGCTCCATGTTCACTCTTGCTAGTGAATCAGTTGTCTGTATAACAGTTTCTTTTCCAAGACTTTAAGGTGGGCTTTCTTAGCATTGGCACTACTAACATTTTAGGCCAGACAGTTCTCTGTTGTTAGGGGTGTGCCTGCATGTTTAGTATCTTCAGCAGCACCCTTGGGCCCCACCAACTAGATGCCAGGAGCACTCCACCAACCCTCATTGTGACAATCCAAAATATCCCCAGACATGGCCAAATGTCCCTTGGATGGGAAGGGGATGCAGAATCACACCCAGTTAAGCACCAATAGTTTAGGGCATTAATAAACACATTCATTCGTACCAATAACACCTTTCCCCCAACTCCTGACTCCCAAGCTGTCCAAAAGAATTGCCTTTTGTTACATAAAAAGATGACTAGTTCTATCTTAAACAACTTCCCCACCACAATTACTGGTCATAAGGACAATACATTAAGTGATTCAATTGTCGTCCCAGGACAGAGTTCTTATAGAAAACTGTTTCCATCCATACATCCTGGAAAAGTAAAATTGAAAACTCAAAGTACAGATTCGTTGAAAGGATAAAATATGTTAGAGCCCAGCAAATACTCTTACAAAATTTAGCTAATAGAGGAATTTTTTTTAAATGACATTTAAAAGTCACCAAAATCTCACCTTGTAGGGTAACTATTACTGATATTTGGAGAATGTCTTTCCAGACATCTCTCCATATGCATATACAGGAATAAAGCCCAATGGGTATACAGAAGTTCTTCTACAAAATAATCCAGGATTGATGGCCCCATGATGACATTTACAAAAATGAGATTATAGCCATGCAGGGTTAAATTAGAAGAATTAAATTCAATTTTCAGATGAGAAGCTGAAAACTGAAGAAACCGATGAGTTTCAGATAAATGCTACTTCACCACTAAAGATACTGGTTCTTAAAAGGTCTCCCTAAATTAAATTAAGACAATATTTATGCAAAATTTTAAGAACAAAGTTACTGTTATTTTTTAACAGTCCCTTTCAACATTGAATGGCATCTACTGACTCCCTAACAGGAAAGATGAGGAAGTTTGTCAACATATTTTTTCCTAGCCCCTTCCTCCCATCCCCAATTTGATTAATTATAATACTTCCATGTGACAAGTTCTCTTCTTTAGCCATACTTCCTACAGTCATTTGGTCTCGGTTCTATTTTAAATGAATCCACAGCCTCTCAGTTCCTGAATTCTTTGACTCATTTTTAATCTGTCTGAATTAGTTTCCAAGACACAGTTTTTATATGCAAAAGGGACCCATAGATGCTGTATTTCTTGAGCTTTTGAATTCTCGATGATAACTGCCTGCTGCGTTTATACCCAAGGACAACTTGGCTGGAGATTCAGTTCTTGGGTGACCCTTCTTGCTCTCAAGCTTTATGGACGCTATTCTGTGACAGGTGCTGGAGTGGATGGCCAGTTCCCAGGGCAGCGACCTCAGAGCCCACGCTGGGTCCTGGCATGTGGCCCCACGTGGCCCCCTGCTCCCCCTCTCAGGCGCATCTCTGAGGCTGCTCTTGCCACCTGTCAGCCACTGCTGCCCTCAGGAAGGTGAGGGCGGCCTTCCAGCTCTGGGCGGGTCCCTGTCGCCTCCATGCTGTGCTGGCACAGAGCCGCCTCTGCACGTTGCACTACAACAGCAGGAACAGGCCTCCTTCCTCTCCCCCTGCACTTCCTCCGCCTCCAGGGGCCTCTGAGGGCTACTCTCTCCCTCCCCAGCACCCTCATCCCACAGGGTCTTAGAGCCGTCCAAGACCACCTAACACAGAGCCATCACTTCCTCTCCTTTTCCTGAATGAGCCATTTCTGTCTGATCCAGGCTTCTTCCTGCTTAATTTCTACAGAATCTACTATCAAGTTCTGCCCTCTGAGCACCCCTGGTCACTCCAGTGGTTGCCAGCAAGGTCTTGTGCATTTATTCCAGGATTCCATACCGACATTCTGGTATTGATTAAGGGCTTATCCTTCCAGACAAGTAAACCTCCAACTTCTTAAATGTCACCTACTGATACCCCCCCAAATTTTGACTGCATTTTTACTCCATACATTTGGCCCTTGGACAACTTTGAACTGCACAGGCCCATTTAACATGCAGGTTTCTTTCAATAAATACATTGGAAAAGTTTTTGGAGATTTGTGACAGTTTAAAAAACAATTTTCTTTTCTCTAGCTTACTTTATTGTAAGAATGCAATATATTAGTATGTGTAACATACAAAATATGTGCTAATCAACTGTTTATATTATTAGTGAGGCTAAGAGTCAACAGGCTATTAGCAGTTAAGTTTTCAGGGAGTCAAAAGTTATATGTGGGCTTTCCACTGCTCACGTCACTGGTAGCCCTCATCCCACATTGCCCAAGGATCAATATACACATCTTAGAGCATGAAAAGGCCAAACTGTATAAATAGTCATCTTTTGTGTGAAAAAAACTCTCAAAACAGAATACCCTATACATAGAGATATTCAGTAAATATTTGTTGATACAAGAGATGTATTGAGAATTCTATTAACATGTCCTAGGGCTCAGGAAAAAAAGAAGATGCACAGGAATACCAAATGTAACTGAAAGATCCAGATACAGAATTTAATCATAATAATAACAAATATTAACTGAGCCTTCCCATGTATATTTTAAGTTGTATACATAAATAATCTTGTTCAGTCTTTACAACAGCCCCATTTCAAATCTGAGGAAACTGGGACAGTGAGGATCTCAGGAATTTGCCTACCATCCCAGCTAGTAAGCAATAAAGTCTGAACCTTAACCCAGGAAAAATAGGAGATGCTCTACATGAATTATTTTGAGGAGAATGGGCTGTTCTCCATCTTGACTAAAATTTGCAAGGGTATAGGCTGAAGGAATCATAAATTAAAATTTTGGTTAGGACTTACGAGCTTCCTTTCTGGGAAAGGATTGGGGTTCCATCCACCAAGAGAGGTCACAAGCTCGCTGTGTGTGAGACTATCCATGTGCGACCTTAGCGCACACTCTTCCAGTCGAACCAGTGACCTCATGATGTCGAGGGCCAGGAATGTCAGTTGGGGAGGAGAAAATAACAGCTTGCTTTCACTTTTCCAAGGGCAAACTCCCCAGGCCAAGACGGCTTTCCGCACTGTGTGCTCTCCACAGCCCGAGAGAGCCAGCCATGTGCCAGACAGATTAAACACTCAGGGAATTTGATACGATTACTCCTGGGAGGGGTTTTTTCCACTACCATCTAATCCAATGAAGCAATGAAGCTGGACTGGCAAAGGCAGTCGAATTGAGAGAGTGACTAAATATATGCAGAGTCCTTGGAGGTTAGAATACAGTCTGTCTACCAGAAGAAGGCATTTTGCCTTTAGTCTGTCTGGATTTCTAATATGCAGACTATTAATCATGTAGACCAGACTCTTGAACCTCTTTGAATCGTTTTACATTTAATTAGAACTTCCCTCCACCCCACACCAAAAAAAAAATAAAAAAAGCTACAAAATCCTGCCTGGTTATCTGATGTAAATTATTTTATACATTTAAACAATGGTTTACCTGGAATACATACCCCACATTGGGCATATGTTTTAATAGCTTTAAAAATGGACTCAAAACCAAAAATGCACTTACTATGCATATCATAAAATCATGAGAAAAATTAGCCAAGGACTCACTGTTCATTTCCTTCAGAATTCCTTTTCAATCATAGGTTATCCTGGATTTTCACCATCAGAAATTCTATGGGAGAAAAAAAATGGAATAACTCATTTTCCATAAGACCATTTCCATTTCATTTTATTGGGTGAGAGTTTGGTCCAAAGTTTATATTTTAATGCATGAGTCTGTATGTTAAGATGTCACCTGATTGTATCTGTGCCCTTCACATAAAGCAGAAATGTCACGATTTACAAAACCACATCTATCTGGAGTCTGGGAACATCCCTCCTTCTTTCTCCACAAACCTATTTTCCATGTATTTGCCAGGCTTTAACTCATTTTATTATTTTAACAAACTTATATTGTATTTAACTCAGAGTTTTCCATTTCGGTTTTCTGGGCTATGTGGATGGAAATGCTTTTCTCTAAGAACCCTATCCTGGAATAACAATTGAAGCCAAATTGGAAATGTGGAGTGCAGTCCAGGTTCCAGAGTAGTCATACTTCCCCAGTCCCGCCGCACAGAAATTCCTAAACTTGCTTCAAGCAGAGAATCTGGGAAGTGAACAAAGTCTGTGTTTTCCTTCTTCTCCACTCAGAAGGGCAGGTTGAGCATTTCCACCTAAGGGCAGGGAGGGAATCCAGACCGGTATGCTCTTCTCGATTGCACAATCTGGGAGAAAAGAAAGAGCAAACATTTGCCTAGGCCAGAAGAATGTTGCCACGAATCTGTCACCAATAGAGCTGCCAGAATTTTTCAAGGGGCAGAAAAAGTAAATCTTTAAAGCAAAGCTTCTTTGGTGGTTTTTTTTTTTTCTTTTTTGAAGTTTCTTGTTCATTTCTCCTTCCCTTCCCTGGCCATCTGAGAGCCAGAGCTTAGGCACCATCACCCCGCAGCAGCTAGAACCTGGGCCAGTGGGCTGCAAGGCAGAGGCCTCATGAAACCACAGCCTTTTGCACATCTGGTCTGGGCATATGATTGGCACCAAATTTCCACATTGAGGAATATTCCAGAATACTTAAGGTTTTGATTTGTCTATTTCTGTAAAAGAAATGCTTCAAAGTCAGAAAGTTGAGGAATTTGAGAGTGGTTAAGGTGGAGGTTTCTTCCAAGGAGCTCTGTTCCAAATTTGACATCCTTGGGGTAAGACAAGAATCTAACACATCACAGCAATGATCGTGTGGTGGTCACTAAGCTTTCCTACTGCACCAGTGTGATCTTTCACCGCCCAGAGTTGGCCTGTCTGGGGATTTTAGTGGAGGAAGAATAAGGAGAAGCAGAGAAAATGAGGTTAAAAACAAGGCATAAATTATCAATAATCACCATACATCCTGGACTTCCCAAGATTTGTGTTTACATAATCTCTCTGGTTGCTCCCATAAAGGTAATCATACTTTCCAGGTGTTGTCTCAGTTTTTAATTAGAAAAATTAAAATTATAAACTAGGTTCAGTTATAACAGGGTACGACTGAAGTGCTCCTTGAGAGCAATGCTTGTGACACATTTTTCTAATGCCTTCTGTGACATAAAAAGAGCTCTGTGTGGAATGAAGGAATTGAAAAATGAATAAGCTTATTGTTTTACCTCTCTTACCGATTTTTAGCATAAACTAAGAATTCAAGGATCTAGGTTCTCATCCTGGCTCTGCAAAGCACCATTTAGGAAGTTACCAAACCTCCCAAAGACTCAGTTTTCCCATCTATAAAATGGAGGGAATAGCTTCCCTTATTTGGCTTATGTTACAGGGTGGTTAGGTAAACCAACTAAGATGCTGAATGTGAAAATGCTCTGTACACTGAACAGATGCACCCACATGTAAATTTTTTATTATTATCATTAGTTCTACTAATCACCACTGCACTCCAACTCTGAGTTGCTCAGCCATTCCAAATCTTGCCAAAAAGAAAACTGCTAGTGGCCACAACAAATCTCATGCTACATCTGAGCTTACTTTTCAAATTGGCTTAGTTTCTATATTTATTAATTAATTAAATGCGTGTCTCCCAAAACCAGCATTACAAAGAAGCATCTCCCTGACACTCATTAATTACAATAAAATCTATTAAATAAATCAAAATATAAATATGATTTATTTAGTAACTAAACAATAACTCATAACATTTTATGCTTTGCTCCCCACAGTGAGCCAACCAGGGCACAATCAAATTTTGGACATCACAGAGCACCAACCCCAAGAATTCTTTAGCAATACACACACATGCACAAAACCACATATCCCTCAACACTGAGGATGTTTGGCGGTAGATGTGAAGACCCACCCCAGAAAAACTGAGAAAGAATTTGTGTTCTGTGACTAGCCATCTGTATCTTCTTCCCCTTCAGTACCAACTCTACCCACTGATGCCCAGGATCCTCAAGTTATTTAGCACCCACTCTACATGGTCCGAAGCTTGTACCAAGGCTGTGAAGTTAGCTATGTGAACCTGCTCACTTGGCGTCCACAGCTGGAATGACAATGAACAAGCAGGGAATCCCCTCTTCTTCACCTTTACAATCTTCACATACACAGAGCATGTACATTCACCATCTCTTCTTGTCTTAACAACCCTCTGAGATATATTTTACTGAATTCACTTTAGAGATGGGCCAATTGAGATTTAGCATGACTGCATAATTCACCCAAAGCACACAACTTCTAAGTGGCAGTGTCTGGGTTCAAAAGCAATTCCACCTGATTTCTAAGATCTGTGTTTTTAGCCACCTCATGCTAGTGCCCTCCCTAGTGTTTCCACCACAGGGTTTCTGGGGTGCCAGGGCAGAGATTTGCAAGGAGGAAGGCAACCCTTTGGGAGCCCTTTGAGGCACATCCTCTCCTCTGTTTATTACTATTAATCCACCAACATAAATTTAAAAACCCACCTTTTTCCACGGCTGACTATGCTAGGTCTGGAGGCATATAAAGAACGAAATATTTCTATAATATAGGTGACTAGTAGTCATTTAATTCCCCTTTGTAGGTCATCTGTATTTTAAAAGAAAAGCTCTATGCTATAAGCCAAATAAATGAGCTCCAACTGGTAGAATTTCTGACATCCAGGCAAGCAGATGGGGATGATGCTTTGTGTGTGTGTGTGTGTGTGTGTGTGTGTGTGTGTTTTGAAAGGCCAGTCACTTAGGCTGCCATCTAATCTGATCTCTCAAATAATTCACCCCTACTGGCATTGTTCTCACCGTCCTTATCCTAGATGTAAAAATGGCTAGTTAATATTAGTATGTGGTCAACCTATCTTAAAACTGTATCTATCTGTTATTCAGAGAATCAGAAATTATGCTGATTATTCCTAAAGATATATCTTGTTTTTCTAACTTCAGGGAAGGCGAGGGAATATGTTTCAGGCTGTACATATCTGTGTATTATTCTTGTAAGGTGTCAATTTTTGCTTCAGATAAGAACATACAAACAAAACTCCATTGTATCTGCTGTCAATTTTGCTAGTACTAATACATGGCCAGAACTCTAAGGTTAAATTATTGTATGTTCTCATGAAGTTATTCATGGAGGCACTCCCTCATACAATGCTTGTTTGGGGGAACAAAAACCATCTTCGAAGTCTACCTATTACCTCAGACGTTCCCAGGGTCCTGCTCTTCTTAAGGGTTCAATGAAATCCTTAATTTACAGGAATCTGAAAATTATCTGCATTTTTAAAAACTTGGGATTCGCCATTTCTGCCCCTCTTCCAAGTTGGCCTTTGGAGCTGAAAGGTCTTTAAGCTTAGGTTAACAGAAAACTATTTTTTGAGAAAGTAGGCTCCAGGCAGAGCGCCTTCCAGGAATATCCTCACTTGTAGAAACAACACGCCCTGCCAAGCTCTTAGGCCAAAGGCTATGGAAGACCCCTCCTGCAGCCAGAGGGTTTTATTATGTAACCATCTCAGCTTGCCTGGGGTCACTGGATGCCGAGAGGAAGGGACACCCCACCTGGCGTAACACAAAGGCCAAGCATGTTTCCCTCCCAACCTGCCAGCCGTGGCAAGCCCCTTCACACGAATTGCCCAGGACTGGGTCATGTTTCCAGGTTCCCCCTCAATCCTGCCCAAAAAGACTCCACTGGACCCCAAGAAAAACACCAGCCACACTGAGTGCCAGCAGAGAGAAATGAAGTGTGCATTTTCTGGTTTCATATTGCAGCTCTTCTAGCTCCCCTTACAACAGAAATAACATCTGCAATGCCAGAACCGATGAAGTAATAAATAACCTTTCCTCCAGACGTTCACCAGCTTTACCTTGCTTTGAGGCGCAATCTGCCCTGAGCAGTTCATGACTGTGTTCTCCGACCTGAACAGACACTACCCCTTCGAGGAGTTTAATGACCACACTCAGCTTCACACTCACTCCAGAAGCAAAGTAGGGGCACTACCACCATGCAGTGTCATGAGGTGCGTGGCTTCAGGTGGTTCAGAACCTGCAACATTTAGTCCAGACTCCCCGGGAAGAGCAAACGTGCTTCTTCAGATCAA